CCCTGATGAACAGCCGCTCCCTGGAGCTCTTCAGCATCGACCCGCGGGCCGGGCTCATCACCACCACGCAGGCCCTGGACCGCGAGAGCATGGAGCTCCACTACTTCCGCGTGACGGCCGCCGACCACGGGGCACCCCGGCTCTCGGCCACCACCATCGTAGCCATCACAGTTTGACCCCGTCTTCGAGCAGAGCGAGTACCGGGAGACCATCCGGGAGAACGTGGAGGAGGGATACCCCATCCTGCAGCTGCGGGCCACGGATGTTGACTCCCCGCCCAATGCCAACATCCGCTACCGCTTCGTCAACGAGCGGGCCGCCCACGCCGTCTTTGAGATCGACCCTCGCTCCGGTCTCATCACCACCAGCGGGCCGGTGGACAGGGAGAAGATGGAGCGGTACTCCTTGGTGGTGGAGGCCAACGATCAGGGGAGGGAGCCGGGGCCCCGCTCTGCCACGGTAAGGGTCTACATCACAGTCCTTGATGAGAACGACAACACCCCTCAGTTCAGCGAGAAGCGCTACATCGTCCAGGTGCGGGAGGACATACGGCCCCACACCGAGATCCTGCGCGTCACCGCCACAGACCTGGACAAGGACAACAACGCGCTGGTGCACTACAACATCATCAGCGGGAACAGCCGGGGCCAGTTCTCCATCGACAGCGTCACCGGGGAGATACAGGTGGTGGCTCCACTGGATTTTGAGGTAGAGCGGGAGTATGCCCTGAGGATCCGGGCTCAGGATGCAGGTCGCCCTCCCCTCTCTAACAACACCGGCATGGCCAGCATCCAGGTCGTGGACATCAATGACCATGCCCCCATCTTTGTCAGCACTCCTTTCCAAATCTCTGTACTGGAGAACGCTCCCGTCGGCCACTCTGTCATCCACATCCAGGCCGTGGACGCGGACTACGGCGAGAACTCACGCCTGGAGTACAAACTGACGGGGGTCTCGGCCGACACCCCCTTCATGGTGAACAGTGCCACGGGGTGGATCACGGTCAGCGGGCCCTTGGACCGGGAGTCGGTTGAGCACTACTTTTTTGGGGTAGAGGCTCGGGACCACGGCTCTCCATCTTTATCTGCCTCTGCCAGCGTCACCATCACTGTCATGGATGTCAACGACAACCGTCCCGAGTTCACCCAGAAGGAGTACTTCATCCGCCTGAACGAGGACGCAGCTGTGGGGACCAGCGTCCTCAGCGTCACAGCGGTTGACCGGGACGTGAACAGCGCCATCACCTACCAGATCACAGGTGGCAATACGCGGAACCGCTTCTCCATCAGCACGCAAGGCGGGATGGGGCTCATAACTCTGTCTCTGCCGCTGGACTACAAGCAGGAGAGGCGTTACGTGCTCACCGTGACGGCCTCCGACCGCACCCTGCGTGACAACTGCCACGTCCACATCAACATCACCGATGCCAACACTCACCGGCCTGTGTTCCAGAGCGCCCACTACTCTGTGAGCATCAACGAGGACCGGCCCGTGGGCAGCACCGTGGTGGTGATCAGCGCCACAGACGATGATGTGGGGGAGAACGCCCGCATCACGTACTACCTAGAAGACAACGTCCCTCAGTTTCGCATCGACCCAGACTCTGGGGCCATCACTCTCCAGGCAGAACTGGACTATGAGGACCAGGTCACCTACACGTTGGCTATCACTGCCAAGGACAATGGCATCCCCCAGAAAGCGGACACCACCTATGTTGAAATCATGGTGAATGACGTTAATGACAACGCCCCTCAGTTTGTCAGCCCTCACTACCAGGGCATGATCTCCGAGGACGCTCCTCCCTTCACCAGTGTGCTCCAGATCTCTGCCACTGACCGGGATGCCCACACCAACGGGCGGGTGCAGTACACCTTCCAGAACGGGGAGGACGGTGATGGAGACTTCACCATCGAGCCCACCTCAGGGATCATTCGCACCGTCCGCAGGCTGGACCGTGAGAATGTTCCCGTCTACGAGCTGACTGCGTACGCCGTGGACAGGGGCATCCCTCCTCAGCGGACCCCTGTCCATATCCAGGTTACCATTCAGGATGTGAATGACAACGCCCTTGCTGAAGAGTTTGAGGTCTTGGTAAAGGAGAACAGCATTGTAGGCTCTGTTGTGGCCCAGATCACAGCCATCGACCCAGATGAGGGACCCAATGCCCAGATCATGTACCAAATTGTGGAAGGCAACATCCCTGAGATATTCCAGATGGACATCTTTTCTGGGGAGCTCACAGCCTTGATAGACCTGGATTACGAGACAAAACCTGAGTATGTGATTGTAGTACAGGCCACTTCTGCCCCCCTGGTCAGCAGAGCCACGGTCCACATCAAACTCATTGACCAGAATGACAACAGCCCCGTCCTCAAGAACTTTCAGATCCTCTTCAATAACTACGTGTCCAACAAGTCCAACACCTTCCCCTCAGGGGTCATAGGGAAGGTTCCAGCTTATGACCCAGATGTATCTGACCGCCTCTTCTATACCTTTGAGCGGGGAAATGAGCTGCACTTGTTGATCGTAAATCAATCGAGCGGGGAGCTGAGGCTGAGCCGTAAGCTGGACAACAACCGTCCACTCGTGGCCTCCATGCTGGTGACCGTCACAGGTAGGGGGTGAAAACCATCAAGCCTTCAGTGCAGTAGCTCTGAGGGGTGTTTGTGGTTCCCCTTGGGCAGCCTGTTCCACATCGGGGGGGCTGGTGGGGAACTGGCAGCAAGATTTGAATTGGGAGCCAGTTCAAATGGGGAAATAGCGGAGGGGCTGGGCAGGGTGGCAGCAGGGGCAGGCTGCAGGGGAGGGGACCAAGGCTGGAGGTGCTGCAAGAACAAAGCATCGTTACTCAGCTGTGAGGATCGCTTGTAGCTGCTGGTGAGACACCTTTGGAGGTGCTGTCACTGGCCAAGCTGTGACGGGCATCGTAGAGCTCTGGCCAGACAAGCAGCTGGTTCCTGGGGTGGCCACGCTGCTTTTCTCCCATGCCTGGGTGGTTCTTCTCCTGCCGGGACCAACCGCCAGCCTGGGGGGGAGGGATTGAACTTGGCACAGATCCCTGTCCGCTGGTAGCGAACGGTTCAGTGGCTGTGGCACCTACCAACACCTGCACTTTCTGGTGCAGCTTCCAAAACCTGGTACAACCTTTCTGCAGCCAACTTAGCGTCGCAGGGCACGGCACGGCTGTGACAAACCTCAGAGCGCGGCGCTTAAAACTCCCGCATCGTATGTGTTGCTGGAGTATCCACATGTAGGTGCTGGTGGTAGCTGCCAGGGTGGCTTTGGGGAGTGTTGGGGTCCCCTCCCAGCCAGGCTGAGGCCAGGGAAAAGATGGACCTGGGGGCTGTGTGTGAGCAAGCGAGGTCTGGACCTGGAGCTCCCCACTGCCTGAGCCTTGCCTTCACCATCAGCCTTTCTCTGCAGATGCGTGATCTGAAATGGAGGCATCCATCCATCCATCCATCCATCCATCCATCCATCCATCCCCGAACCAGAGAGCAGCTCGGTGGGAGGGAGGGTGAGAACCCCCTTTGGAGGGTCCAAGCACCTAATTACAGAGAGTGCCTGGGGAGCTGTATGTTAAGTCGTGATGCTCCTCTGCCCAGCTGCCCTCCCTTTTCTCCCTCTCTCTGTCTGGCTTATTCAGCAAGGGGAGGGTTTCTTTCAAAAGATGGAGCGAGGGCTTTAAAAACAGACCTGTTCAAGGCAATCCTGCACGGCCAGCACCAGCCCGGCGGTGGGTTGGGGCTCTCTGGGGGTTAATTGTCACCAGGGGGGACAGGCTGAGGCGCACACTTGCCCATCGCTGGAGTGGGGGGTGGTTCTGACCTTTCCAGCTTCTGCCCCATGTGTTTATGCAAGCCCTGCCTCCCCACACTCTTAACCCTGCACAAAGGCAGGAGACAGCCACGTCCCGAGGTCCTGCGGAGAGGGGCCCTCGCAATTCGAGTGTCATCATCTTCAGCGGGAAGGGTGATGGGAGAGGGGCGCTCGCCAAGGAGCGGAGAAGGTGGACGGGAGGATTTGTCCTGGGGAGGGAAGTGCCTAAAAACAGGCCTTTTGTTGGCTTGGGTATTAGCTGTGGAGCTGGAGGTCTGCTTGGGTTTTTCCTCCTTTATTGTTCGAAGCCCCCCGCCCCGCGGGCAGCCCCGCCGGCCCCATGCTGGTGCTATGTGCAGGGGGAGGGTGCGTTTGCAGCGCCGTGGCCAGGACGTTCAGAGCCGGCTGCATTGTTTGCCCGGGAGCACCTTCCTCCTGCGGGAAGGCAGCAATAACACCTAGGTGGGTGCCCGAGGGTCAGCATCCAGGGAGGGAGCAGCTTCCCTGCCTGCCCATGAGCTTTATGGTTCCTTTGTGGGAAGCTGGATCCCCCTAAATCACAGGGCAAGGGGCCCTTCTGCCTGCCCGTGAGCTGTGTGTGTGTTCTCAGCTCAGCCCCTTGGAGGAGGCAGGGAAGATTTGGGCCATCACAAACCAGTGCCTTTCCAGAGAGACTGGCAGCCTCAAAGCTGACCTCAGCTCTTCACCAATGTGTGGGCACCGATGGCTGCTAAAAACGGCTCTTGGCCGCTGGAGATGCAGAGCAGTGGGGTGGTGGGGCTGTGTCCATGGCCAGCAGTGCTCTGTGAGATCAGGGCATTGCAGGAGACTGCTGTTGTGTTGGCTTTAAACCCTCCCGGTCTGGCTTCACTGGGCCAGGGGCAAGGGTGGAGGCTCGGCTGCCCTCAGCTATGGCCCTGATCACCTCAGGTCTTTGTGTGTAGCTCCCCTCAGCCCAGGAGCTTGTCCTGGTGAGGGGACGCTTTTGTCCAAAATGTCTCACCTAAAATCCCAGTCTGGCAGGGAAGACTCCCTCCAGAGCTCATTTGTCCTGTCTCCTGTGTCTGAACACGCCAGAGCTATCTTTTCAAGGCGGGGAAGGGTCCCAGGGCTGCCCTGGCCTTGAAGGCCTCTCCTCTTGTGAGAAGCCCAACCTCAGGAGCATCCTCTCCTGTGAGATCCCTCACAGCTGGAGGTGCTGACCATGAAATAGGGGTGGGAGACTCCTCCTCCCCAGGGAATTTCCACCACAGGCCTGGAGCTCCATTCCCAGGCAGCCCCCCAGGACTTTGCTGCCCATCCTGCTCTCCAGCCACAGCTCTTCTTTCTGTAGCTTTGCTGCTTTTGGACCTGGTAACTGTGAGTCTTGGAGGTGCAAACACGATGACCCGGTGCTGCCCAGCACAGGGGGTTAGAGCCCCTCGTGTCCCTTCTCCCTGCTCCTTTCCCTGTAGCCATGTTTCCAGGGCTCCTCGCCCTGCTGCATGAATATTCACCAGGCACCAGCTCTCCAGCCACAGGATTTAATCAGGAAGGCTGAGCATTTGTGATTAAAAAGCCTCCCAGGGGGGTCAGTGCCTCCAGCCAGCTTTGGGCTTTCTTTTGGTAGCTTTATTCCCCCCCCGCCCTCCATTTGCAGCAGGTCCTTCTCTTAACCATCTGCTTCCCCTTGCATGGAGCTGAAGGGCAGGCATCCCTGGTGTGGGATGAGGTGGGACAGCACGTTATGGGGGAGTGTATGGGGGGGAACTGGAAAAGAGGCACTTGGGCTTTCCTGCTGTGGGCTGGGCAGGGAAGAAGGCCTCGACCCTCCTGTCGCCTGCCTTCTTCCCTGGACACAGCCTTCTTGCTCCTGGGACACACTGATGGCCTCCAGCCTGCCCCAGGAGTCAGTGTCGCATCAGCTGAGGCCTAACACCAGCCATAAATCAGGCAGACATCTGCCTGCCCATTGCTGGGTGCTGAGCAGCCCTCAGAGAGGATGAGAGCTGTCCCCTGGGCCTCACGGCTGCTTTTGGGTGAGCCATGATGTGGAGAGAGAGCAGGAGGCAGCTGGGCTCCAACCGAGCTCATGTTTGCCTTGGCCAGAGAGGCAAACTGCGAGGAGGGGATGAAGGGAATGGAGAGGGAGCGGGGATGTGGCGCAGGTTCCCCCTGAGAGGGGCGCTGCTGTCAAAGTAACGGCATCCTGGGGTGCTGCCTCGCCAGGGGTCCCTCGAGGAGGGGTGCCAGGCTGCCGGGGGCTTGGGGAGCAGCTGACACCAAGTGCGGCTGAGCCAGGCTTGTGGCTTTCCCCTCGCTCCAGCTTCCCCCGGGCAGGGGGATCCTGGCAGCCCGGAGAGGAGGTGTCGTGGGGACACAGGTGAGGATGATGCCAGTTCATCAGAGCCCGGGCAGATCTGAATCCCCTGCATGTCCAGCCAGGTGCTGGACAGAGCTGTCTGCTGATGGCTGCTGTGGTGCCCTCCATGTCGGAGCCTGCAGGGTGTCACACAGAGGAGGGGTTTCTCACCTTGCTTGCGGCTTGATTTCAGAGAGAAGCAGCCCCCTTCTTCCTCCAGATCAGCTCTGGGGTGACTGTGCTGCCACCGCTGCCCCCAGCCCCGAGCCAGCCTTATCTCCAGAGCAGCAGCCCCGGTGCACAGGCTGCTGCTTGCGCTGGAATTTGCAGGGTCGACAGAAAGCTTTCACCTTCTGTAGAGCGGAAAAAAGAGAGTGGGAGAAAAAAGGGAGACATTTCAATCTTTAAGTCCTCCTGCACTGCAAACTTCAAACGGGGCTGAGGGAAATCAAAAGGTTTGCATCGCAGCCGCCTTGGGAAGAGAGGAACAGTAAAGGCAGCTTTGCACGAGGCTTGGGGCTGGCATTGACACCTTGTCCTTGTTGGGGCTGGGGCCGACTGGGGTGCAAGATCCACACACCTGCCTACCTTTTCACAAGCCCATCTTCTGTGTCTGCATTTAAACTGGGGCCCTGTATGTTGAACCTGACAGGGATGCCCAAGAGAGGATGCAGGAGGCTGTCTCTGAGCTGATTTACCTGCCAGGGGATAGTGTGGCAGACGGGAAAAGGGAAGTGTCCTGGAAAACCTGTCCATCTTTTGGGTGGCCTTGCCTGCAGAGAGACACAGGTGGACAAACCCGGTGTCCCCAGGGGAAGGGGGTGGGAACACCCCCAAACACAAGCGTGTTTGCCACTCACTGGTCATGTGTAGAGGATGTTGCAGCAAGGCTTGGTGCCCAGGGATGGTCCTGTGAGTCACGGCTGAGATGTGCTGATGTAAATTTTTTCTTTGTATGGTGATGGAGAGGCAGGTTTCCAAGGAAACAGGGGTGTTTAGGACTCTCAGGTGGATGTGGGGTGGGAGATGGGAACAGCAGACGACCGCAGTGTGCTGCTGATGCCCGTGGGGCAGTGGTGCTGGGGTGCTGGCAGTGGGCTGGGAGGTGGATCACCCTGTTTCACCAGAAGCAGCGAGGTCCTTGATGAGCGATATTGAGTGCTTCTGGGGCCGGAGGGGTTGGCGCAGTCCTCGCTTCGCTGTGCTGAAGGCTGGCTCTGCCTGCTGGAGCCTGCACTGGAGGTGGAGGGCCCAGAAGAAGGTGGATGGGGAGAGAGGAGGTGCCCTGGGGCAGCAGGTGGGCTTCTCCCCACTGGTGCCCTGGCCAAAGCTGCCAGCAAAGGTGTCCAGGGTGGCCTGAGCAAGGGGGATGCTGGTGGGCTGCTTTGTGGGTTACCTCCTGGCAAAGCCGTGGAAAGTAGAGTTAATGACTGAAAACTGAAACCACTGCCCAAACTTCTGTCTGGGCAGAGAGGGGAAGAGCGACAGCCCCAGCAAAGGGCCAGGCTGCTTACATTTGGACAGCATAAAGTGGTGAGGCCAAGGGTTGGGGTTGTTGTGCTCTGGAAGAGACCAGTGGGAGTTTTATCTGAGCGAGGTGTGGGGTTTGCTGCCCGGCAGGTCCCAGCTGGGGTAATCACAGTCTCCATCGTGCTGGGAGGGGCGCTCCGTGCCTGCCTGTGCTTGTAGTGGGGTTTCCTTGAGGAATTAGGAAGGTGGTCACATCTGTCTGTCCAGCTCCTGTCCTGGCCAGTGTTTCCTAATTTGCAGCAAGGTCTGACCCTCCAAGGTGGTGGGATCCGTTGGGTTTCTGGGAGCTGGGTAGGTGGGGTGAGGCAGGGGGCCCCAAATCCAATAACTGCGGCGGTGGAAGCAGTGGTGGGAGCTCCCATTGCCTGACCAGGCCAGTGCTGTGCTGCTTGCGCCCCTGCAGCCTGAGCTGGTGGCATGAGAGTGCTTGATGTGGGGGTGAGGTGCTGCCAGGGCTCTGGAAGGGAGCAGGCGGTCACCCTGGCACGCTCAAAGCGTGCAAGCACGCTCCTGTGTTTGTGCCTGGGAGACGGCTGGTGTGGTGCGGGGTCCCAAGGGGAGGGAGTTTGTTTCCAAGAAAAATAAAGATTAAAGAGAATTAAACAAACCGGGGATGGGCCCAGGGAGGAAGAGATGCGGAGCAGATGGTGAGAAGAGGGAAAGCAGGAAGACCAGCACAAAAGCCTTGGAGACCCTGGAGGAGTGAGGAAGGAAGCAGCAGGAGGGGAGCGCAGGGAAAGGCAGCGCAGGGGAGACAGACAGGGAGCAGCAGGGGGGCAGAACACCCCGGGCCCTGGCATCATCTCCTGTGTTTGCCCAACCTCCTGCTGGGGCTTCCTTCTGCCTGAATCTCACCAGCATCTTTGTTCCTGAGAGCTCAGTTCGCTGCCAGGATCCAGGACAGGAGGAAACCTGCGAGTTATCTCGGTGGAGAGCCTGAGGAGGGGAGAAGGTGCAGCCACAGCGACTGCTCACCCCCAGCCCTGGTGGCACCCTGCCAGCTCCCAGCTTCCTTAGGCAAGGACTCAGGTCTTCTGGGGTCTGTGCTGGGGTGCGGAGCTCTGCCTTGGGGTGGGAGGAAGGACACCCTCCAAGCAGCAGGCAAAGACCTGCAGCGTGTCCCTGTTCCTTCCCACAGATGGGATCCACAGCGTGACGGCCCAGTGTGTCCTGCGGGTGATGATCATCACGGAGGACATGTTGGCCAACAGCATCACGGTGCGGCTGGAGAACATGTGGCAGGAGCGCTTCCTCTCCCCACTGCTCTCCACCTTCCTGGAAGGGGTGGCCACCGTGCTCGCGACGCCCAAGGAGGACATCTTCATCTTCAACATCCAGAACGACACGGATGTGGGCGGCACGGTGCTCAACATCAGCTTCTCAGCCCTGGCGCCACGGGGCGGACACTACTTCAGCTCGGAGGAGCTGCAGGAGCAGCTGTACATGAAGCGCATGGCGCTGACGGGTGCCTCCATGCTGGAGGTGCTGCCCTTCGACGACAACGTCTGCCTGCGGGAGCCCTGCCAGAACTACATGAAGTGCATCTCCGTCCTCAAGTTCGACAGCTCGGCCCCCTTCATCGCCTCCCCCTCTACCCTCTTCCGGCCCATTCACCCCATCGCTGGCCTGCGGTGCCGCTGCCCGCAGGGCTTCACCGGGGACTACTGTGAAACAGAGATCAACCTCTGCTACTCCAACCCCTGCCTGAATGGCGGCATCTGCATCCGCAAGGAGGGAGGGTACACGTGTGTTTGCCGCCAGAACTTCAGCGGTGAGTGCCTGGGGCTGGGGGCTGCGGGGGGACGGATGAGCAGGTCCCTTGGTGTTGCTGTCACTGTCCTGGGTGCTCTTCCCAGCAGGTCAGTGGGTGGTGGAGCTCCTCTTTGCCTGCAGAGGTCCAGCTCTGCTCGGCTCTCCGTGTTTCCATGGCGCTGGATGAGCAGGGCTGAGGTTGCCATAGAAATCTGTCTTGTAGGGAGGTGGCATGGAGGGCTCCTGGAGACCCTGGCCACCACCTCCCAGCTTTTTTCACAGAGCAGGAGGACCAAGAGGGACTGTTCCAGGCTGGGGCACAGGAGGCTTCTTGGCCCTGCCCCATGCCAGTGGGGTGGTGGGCTCTGGGTAATCGGGGGTGCTGGTTTCAGCCTGTGCTTCAGCTGGTCTGGCGGAGATACAGAGCACATGCTGGCCCCACAGGCAGTGAGTGAGCTGCTGCCCACCCAAAATGGCTTGCTGCCCCACCAGGCTGGATCCAATCCAGGCAGATCTGGTCCTAGCTATGGGGGCAATCCCTGGGCTGGCCAGTGTCTTGTTGCCACAAATCCCCAGATGGCTGTGGAGACCCATGCCTGGCCACTGGCAACCTAGGGGTGAGGGAAGGTGGCCTGTGGCTACTGCGGAGGGAGCCCCGCCAT